GGAGGGACCACAGTTCCACAGAAAAAGGGAGGAGGAGCTGGGAAGCTCATTTTCAGACAGGGAAACACTTAACACCAGGCCTCCTGTGCATTTCCACCTTCTTCCTGGTACAACACTCCTGATAGATGTTTGGTTGCCCCCAAGTGACTGGGCACTCACTTCCTCACCAGGCAGCCAGTTCCGGTGTTGGAGGGCTGCTTAGAAGATCCTTATTTCTCTGAAGTCCAAATCCACACACACATCCCAGCCCATCTCGAGCACCTTTCTCTTCCCACATCCCTTGTATTTGCTCAACCAGCATTGGCTGAGCTCCTAATGGGTGCCCAGGCCTGCGCTTGGCATCGGACACACACCAGTGAGCAGGACAGAAGGTGTCCCTGTTGTGACCAGGCTCACAGTCCAGCCTTAACAAGTTTCTCCTCCACATACCAACTTCTCTGGACGCACTGCCTATTGTCTACGGGCTCTGCTTCCCTCCCGCCCCCCTCCGCCTGGGCTCTCAGGAGAAAAATGACCATCTCCTCCCTCAGGAATACCTGCCAAGACTTTCAGAGTCAATCCCAAGAATGCAAACAAAACTCATAACAAGTAGAATGGGGGAAGAGGAGAAGACTGACGTTGATCACATGGCCCCCAGGTGCCACGAGGCACTCCATGTCATTCTCCTAACAACCCCACAGGTAGGCTTTGCTTCCTTGATGACACACAGGAGGAAGCTGAGGCCCAGAGAGGTCTAACAGCTTGCTCAAGGACACACAGGAGAAAAGGACAGGGCAAGCTCCAAACACAGGCCAGCCATGTGCTTCTTTCCCTGCACAAACCATGCAGGGTTCCACAGTGCCTGCCAGCTGTCCTGGCCCACCAGACAGGTCCCTTGGTCCTTCTGCAGTCTCTGTGCACTGGAGGTCCCCACCCTGTTCTCTGGGCATTTTCTTGCTCCCATGGAAATCAGCTGGTTTGAGAGAAAAGGGGACTATTCTGCATATGGCTCATCTATGAAGTGTGAGTGAGATTTTTTTTTTTTTAATTCAAAAGCTTCTCCCCTAGCTTCCAGGCACCTTCTGGTGAACAGAGAGGAGACACGAATAGTGTTCTGCGCGGACGGGTGGCAACCACGGCCCCATCAGCCAACCTGTCCCCCCTCCTCTCTCATCTCTGCCTACTGGACCAGGAATTTCACAAAAAGTAGAGCTGGAGACTCAAAGTCAGCCCCACCACAAACCAAGCAGCATCAATGAACCCCTGGAAATACAGACACACCCCCTCTCTACCTCCTCCCTCCCAACTACCCCAGGTCCGAGTCCTTGGGACAAGCAGCAAAGCAAATCCCACTGAGTTCAAGGTGAAAGGTTGGCGCCAAATCTTTGACAGTGGAATTTGCTTGTGAAGATACATATGGGGCTGGTCCACCCCCGCCGTGGGTGTCTGGTCTCACCAGCCTCACTAAACCAGGGCTCCAGCAGCAGGGGACTGCTCTGGGTGGGGAGGAGCTCATTAATTACCACGATGCTCCTCTCCCTTTTCTCTGTTTTTCTTCCGAACAATGGAAATATTGAAATTGAGAGTTTCCTTCTTTGCTCTGGCTCTTAGAGAAAGGAAGCCCCGTGTGCGGCTCACCTCTACACACAGAGCCTTTATTATTATTATTACTATGATTATATTATAATCTTCCTATCCTTTCCTCCCCTTCATCCAGGTTTCCTTGTATCTACTTTGTCTTGCCACAATACCTGAATCTTTGTGGCCAACCTCTCATTACTTTTGGAGCAAAGTGAGCTCTAAACCCATAAAGGTGGCGCTTGGTGTGAATGAAGGTGTAGGAGGGAAAGAAGTCCATCAAAGGAGAGACGTGTGAAAGGAGCGCCTGGGTTTGGAGAGAAGGCCAGGGCGCACAAACCCTCACGGAGGCAGGGGCTGTGAGGCTGGCCAAGGGCCACGCGGCCAGCTGCCAAGGCAAGCGTGCCTTCTCCAACCCCTCTGTCAGCCCATGATCTGTAGCCTGTGGTTCCGGAGCTTCTCCTTCCCTCAGAGGTTTTCATGACAAACCAATGCCACATGCATCCCACTCCCTCCACCTCTCTCTGTACCCACCAGCCCGGGCCTCCCGGAAGAATGTCTGGCTGCTCTCCTGGGCTTCCTGAACTTCCAGCCTCCACCCCCCAGGAGATGAGCAGAGCAAGGGGCCCAGATCTAGATATTTTGCATCTCTTCTCAATTCCCTTCCTCTTGGAAAGTGAGGGCTGTGCATTCCTTTCCCAGTGCTGATCAAAATCTCTTGAGTAGCTCAACTGTATCTTTGTTTTGTTCCTTAACACTTGCCGATAGCCTCTAGATGGAGTCACGTCTCCAAAGGGACTATAAACACCATTATTTCTGATGGCCCAGGCTGCTACTTGTAATTATCCCAATTAATGCCAAGTGGGCACGGAGCTTGCGGTCCACTCAGATCCCCACTGCAACCCTGAGGCCAGGGCATGACTTGGCCAGGCTGGCGACCAGAGCCCAAGTCCTCGGTGCTTGATAGGCCCGTTACATGGGGACTGAGTGCCCGCTCCTCGCAGGAGTGGCATCATGAATCCCCTGCCGTGTTGTCTGCATTTGTTCTCTTCTCGGAGCACCCAAGACAGGGTACAGAGGAGGATGAGGGGGACCTGGGCTTTCCATGTGGCACCCACCCTTTCCTCTGAACTGGGAAAGAAGCAAAGGAACAGAGGGAAGACCTGAGGTTCCTAGAGTCTATTTCTCTCCCTGCTCCTGGAGCCTGAGAGCAGGAGCCTGGCTCTACCGAAGGGAAATCCTCAGGGGACCACATGTACCCAAAACACCTCTGGCCCCCACTTTAGTTGGGTGCTCTCTCTCTCAATCTCTCTCTTCCTGTGTTTTAAGACAAAGACATGGATTATCTGATGTCCTTTTAAAGCATAGGAAAGATGGAAACCTCACTCAGTGATTAGGATATGTGTTGACCATATACTCTCATTCTTTAGGGAGGAAAATAGGAAAAGGAGAGCAGGTGAGGGGGTGGACAACAAGAAGTCATATGAAGAGGGGGTGGGGGAAAGAAGGAGGGAGAAAAATTCACCAGGGAGAAAAATGAGTGGGAGAGGCCAGGGGAGGGAAAGAGAGAGGCATGAATGAACTGAATGTTGAAATGTCCTCATTCTAAAAGCAAGACACTAAGGGTCAAAGGAGAGAAGGGGACCCCTCACCCAAAGTCCCACACTAGTAAGGGCTAGAGGGAGGGCTCCCCAGTATCTGCTCAGTATCGGTCTCACTTCCTCAAGGACTGGTGTTAGAGCTCCTCAAGACCCAGGTCTGGCATCTCTTTGGCTCCTGCCCAGGAAATAAGTGTAGCCTGATGCCTTAATTAGAAACACCCACTGCTGGCTTTTGCCCAGCCCAACTCCCTAGTTCTGTGTCCTTCATCAGAAGGCTGGCACAGGAGGAAAGAGCTGGGGTGGGAGCAGGAACCCCCAGCTCTAGTCTGCCTCCGATTGGCTGTGGGACCTGGAGCAAGCACGTTCCCCCTCTGGACCCCTGAACCCTTTCTGCAACGTGGAGCAGGGCTGGCTCCGCTGCGTCTGCACAGCGATCCTCCCCCGACACTGCCGGAGCCTGCTGTACCACAGGTGCTCCGTATGTGCTGAATGATAATTGCCCAGGCCACTAAGAAAAACGCTAGGTTAACAGGCAGGGCTGGGTAAAGCCAGGAGTCTGTGGTTCTGGAAGAGAGCAAAGCGAAGTTATCCAGCTGAACAAAGGGAGATTTCAGCTTCCACGGGATGGGTGTATTTTAGACTTCTGAGAGCAGGAGTGATTATATTTAGAAATGGGACATTTCTGCAAAAAGGGTAAAAGCAAACCCCTCGATCTACTCTTAGAATCATTAGAGTCACCTGCATCCCAGTGCAGTGCTATGGGCTTACCCTCAAACAAAATGTCTGTCATTCACCATCACTGATCATCCCTCCTGATCTTTGCAGATAAGCTATTGGAATTGTGTGCAATGAAGGCAAAGCTGCCTGGAGCTCCCAGCAGCCCAGCGCTGGCCACAAGCCCCAGGACCCAAGGCGCTCTCTGCTCCCCCAAGCTCCCTCCCCACAGACCAGCCCATTCTACCTTCTCCTCCAGGTCTTCCCCACAGCGCCCTCAGCCCAGCACTCCACAGTCCTCCCATCTGGAGAGCACATTCCCTCCCTACAGAAATCACCCAGCCTCCCAGATCAAATTGGGAAGTTTGCATCTTTGTATTGGGGCTCCCATCCTTTTACCGCCCCTCCCCACCCCACAGGACAAGCAACCGAATCTGGCCCTGGGCACCCCCAGCCACCGCAAGCTGCCCAACCACCCCCCAACCCCCGCACTCACCTCTCCGCCTTTCGAGACTCACCGCCTCCAACAGGCCAGGGGTTCAGCGACTCGACCTTACATCCCCACAACACCCTGCCCCGGACCTACTCAGGTACTCAGTGCCAAGCTGGACAAATCAAATAGCCCACCTCCTGCTGCCCTCATCCAAACCAGACCCCCTGTGCTCAGGTTGATTTGAACTTAAAGGGGAAGTTCGACATAAAGTAAATTTAAAGTGGTGAGCTTGAGCTTGGACCGCGGTTCGAAAGTTACTTCCACCACTCCTAACCAGGTGGGAAAGTCAGTTGAACCTCAGTTTTCCGGTCCATAAAAAGGAACCATAGGCCCCATATGTAGCCCAAGGACTGTGCTAAGGACCTTGTGTGCATTTTCTCATTTCATCCCCCTGATGAGAGCCAGTACTTTCATCATTATGGCCATTTTACGGAAGAGGAAGTCAAGGCTCAGGGAAGTTAAGCCCCAAATCCCTTGGCCAATGGATAATGGAGCCATGACTCAAACCCAGCTCGGCAGGATTCCAAGGCCCGCATCCCCTGCACGAGATCCCCAGAACCCTGTCGGTGCGGAGGAGGCAGGACGGGGACCCCGCCCCGCCGCGCTCCCTCCTCCGGGTTTCCCGCCAGCGCTACCTTCCTTGGGCGCATTGGCGTCCCAGACGCTCCACATCTGCACGAAGAAGAATGGCGTCCAGCACACGATGAAGGCCAGCACGATAATGAAGGTCATCTTAACCGTGCGGATCTTGGCCTTGGAAATGAGCTTGACGCTGCTGACGCGTGCCAGAGCCGCGCGCCCCGCGCCGCCCGCCGCCGCGCCCTCCGGCCCCTCTGCAGCCGCCGCCGCCGCCGTCTTGAGTCGCAAGTTCTGCCAGATCTTGAAGCTGATGAGGCCATAGCAGGCAGCGAGCACGATGACAGGCACGATGTAGACCGCGAGTGTGATCCACGTGATGTAGGCCTTGGGCCCCCACGGCTGGATGAAGACGGCCCAGCAGTCGAAGACGCCGTCGGCCACCTCGCGCAGCGAGAAGATGTGCACTTGCGGCGCGCTGGCCACCAGGCAGCCCAGCCACGTGGCGAGCACGGCCAGGCGGTCCGCGCGGCGACGCAGCGTCCGCAGCGGCTGGCAGATGGCCAGGCAGCGGTCGAGAGACATGAGCAGCAGCAGGTAGGTGGAGGCGAACATGCCCACCACCTGCAGGTACTTGACCAGGCGGCACAGCAGGTCGGGCCCGTAGAAGCGGAAGGTGATGTCCCACAGCAGTTGCGGCAGCACCTGGAACACTGCCACCACCAGGTCGGCTATGCTCAGGTGCTTCATGAAGAAGAAGAGGCGCGAGTGCTTGTGGCGCGTGGTGCGCAGCGCCAGGAGCACGCACGCGTTGCCGCTCAGCGCCAGGAAGAGGATGAGGCACAGCACGGCCACCTCCACGCGCGCCAGGGCCTCGTTGCGCTGCGGGGGCCCGGCGGTGCGGTTGCCCTCGGCTTCCGGAGGCGCCTCGCTGCCGTTGACCGCCTCCGCGCTCCAGTTGGCCACCAGCGCGCCCTCCATGACCGTGGCTGCTGCCGTGCGCCCCTGGTCTTCAAGCCCTTTAAGGAGTAGTGCGGCGGGG